ACAATTATGGTGTATGGAGTGTAGATTGTTGTGGAAAAAAACTAATTTAAAGCAGTTTAACATAAGGCAGCAACAAAACAAAATGTGAAAAAAATGAAGGAAGAAGCTTTTGAGATGGTCAAAGATAGTTGAATTAAATAGTGCTGCAGCTGATCAGTGTTGGGCTTTGGTTTTAATATGCTATTCTTTGTACTGTTATTCAACAATAAAACAGTGTAACCTACTTTTTGGAGAAAACCCTTTGCAACCAGTTCTTAGTAGCTGTAGTAGTTTGTCTTTTTCTGGTAGATTTAAAGTTGTGTGTGTTTGTGAAGATAGATAGATAGATAGATAGATAGATAGATATATATCTATCATGTGACCCCTTTAAAACACATTATGTTGCTTCTCTAATTTTACATGCAAGTATAGCCGAAATCACAGCACAGCTATTGTCTTTATCTTATTTGATTTCATCAGACGACGGCTCGATTATAAATCAGGATTTTTGTGCAGATTAACATCTTGGAAGGGAGAGCTATGTAGTCTTAATTGGCAGCGTTTCAGTCACTATTTCATATTATTTTGGTTGTCTGACAACAGAAACAGTCAAATATAACAAGGAAAACAGTTTTATTGAGAATTTGGCTGCATCAAATTACAGTATGTGGGCACAGAGAGGCAAACAAATGTATTAATAAATAATAAATGTACATTTTGCATGTTTATAAGAAGTGAGCTGCCCTGTCCTGCAAATAATGTAAACAGGCTTGTGTAAGTAAATTGCTCAGTGCAAAAGAAGTAATGGGAACCTGGTATTTCTATGTTCTTTTATTCATTGCGTCTAATAGGCATGAGCAAGTTATTTGAAAAACATCTAGGACCTTTGAAACATGTCTAGTCTTCATGCTCTATGTTGAGTATGGTTTCACTAATAATAAACATACATTTGCATAAAGCATCCATATTTGTCCATGCCCATGTTGATTAGAGTATTAAAAACGTGAAAAGTATTAATTTAAGGTACATTTAGAACAGATAAAAATGTGATTAAGTTACGATTAATCACGAGTTAACTCATGACAATCATGCGATTAAAATATTTTAATCGATTGACAGCCCTAATATATATATATATATATACAGTGGGTACGGAAAGTATTCAGACCCCCTTAAATTTTTCACTCTGTTATATTGCAGCCATTTGCTAAAATCATTTAAGTTAATTTTTTTTCCTCATTAATGTACACACAGCACCCCATATTGACAGAAAAACACAGAATCGTTGACATTTTTGCAGATTTATTAAACGCTTCTCTAGTAAGTTTCGTTTGTGTGTGAAGACGCTGCAGGCAGCGGCGCAGCGCAAATCTGTAAATGAATATTCCAAAGTGAAGTAAACTTCAACGGATTTCCCTTGCTCAGGGAGTAGGGAGCATTGGACACTGTGTAGGGAGCATGTCAATCGGGACACAGTTCAAGCACGGAGCTCACTTCTAACTAGATGATCTGAATCAGGTGTGTTAACAAAGAGAGACGTGCAAAACATGCAGAGCGGGGGTACGCGAGGACTGGAATTGAGAACCGCTGGTCTAGAACAATTCTTA